GGGAGTCTGCTTCTCCCTCTGACCCTCTCCCCTCTCATGCTCTCTCTCACTCTCTCTCTCTCAAATAAATAAATAAAATCTTTAAAAAAAAAAAAGAAATGTTAACGGTGCCTGCCTTTGTGAAAAACAGACTTCCCCCTTTTCCTGGTATTTCACCACATTTCACAAATTAAAGAAAAAAAGGCGGGCGCCTGGGTGGCTCAGTTGGTTAAGCGACTGCCTTCGGCTCAGGTCATGATCCTGGAGTCCCTGGATCGAGTTCCGCATCGGGCTCCCTGCTCAGCGGGGAGTCTGCTTCTTCCTCTGACCCTCCCCCCCTCATGTGCTTTCGCTCTCTCTCATTCTCTCTCTCTCAAATAAATAAATAAAATCTTTAAAAAAAAAAAAAGAAAAAAGGCATATGCTTTTTCTGGAATGGGTAAATAAGGTAAAAGAGAGAAAGCAACACAAAAGTAGAATTTTAAAAAGTATTTTTTAATTTTTAGTCCTTTTTCAAGGTTGAATTCTCTAAAGCTCCACATTCATTTGATAGATCATTTTCATTCCTAATTTATGTTCCTCCTTTCAATCTCCCTCTTAAGAAATTATTTCCATTTGTTAGTATTAGATGGCTAAGCATGAAGGTAAGAAAGTTAGGGCAATTTAGTCATGACTTTTAAGTACCAGAGAGATTTATCATGCAGAAGTTAATGGCTAGCTCTTTTCCACGTTCAAGAGCTGCCAGATATTATTAAATTTTGACAGTATATGCTTGCCTTGGGACAAGTGCCAATACCCTCCGTTTAAAAGCCATGTCCATTGGGATCCTATCAGAACTTAAAGAAGATACAGAATGGTCTAGATGACAGATGTTTACTGATGTCACCATGTCTGCCACACCACGGACATCTAGGCACAGATATATTCAGCCTTCCTCTAACCAGACATTATTCTCAACAGGACCTTTCATAATCCCCTTTAAGTTTAGGCCCCTTGCATGACCATGATATTCTCATCAACAGCAGTGGCTATGGAGGGGTACACCATTTCCATCACTCTTCGGGTACTTGACCAGGCACTCCTCAGTCCTAATTTAACCAGTTTTCCTATCTTATCAGTAAAGGGTAAACACAAATCTAAAAAGAAAAAAAAAATTCCCCGATGATAAGAGGGAAAGTGACAGTTCTCTTCCCTTTTCTTAGAGCATTTCCTTCAGAAAACTTGTCTTCTTCTGGAAATTCTTCTCCTGCCCCTTTGAGATGTATATACATCAAATTAAAAGCAAAATAAATCTCACTTATTTTACAACCCAGGAATGGTTTTCTTCGGAAGGGGGCAACCTCTTTGACACATAAACATCAGGCAGACAGCACCCTATCTATTTCCCCTTTTCCCTTTTCATGGGGGGGGTGGGGGGGAAGGGGAGTGTCACTTAGCCACACGGTGTCATGTTGCGAAACTACCTACTTGTCTTGAAGGTATCCATTTTCTTTTTCTTCTGGATAAAGGTAATTAGCTACCACAGATGGCCACCCCAATACCCAGGTGAGTTTAGGGGGAACTCTACAAATGGTGTTGTCACGTCTTATGTGAGGCCTGGTTATTTACATCTGGAGGACACAGATGTAACGGGCTATACGTATACAAGATGCGATTGCTTTGTCTTTGCCGTCTCCTTAGTGGGTTGCCTGTGATGCCTGCTGCAGTCTGGATTGGTGCTGATTTGATCATAAAACTATTTTCTTTCTCATCTGCCTTGGTGGGGAGAGGTTTTCTGGGTTGGCAGGATATTTTATTTGTAATTATTTTCCCAACACCAGACAGATGGCAGGCTACTTAAGGACAGAGAGGTTATGTTCTTCGATTAAATTCGACAGGAAGTTGATTGGGCCCCATCGATGTGTCAGACACTGCCTGGTCAGGAACACAGATACGATATTGGGCTCACTGCTATGAAGTTCACAGTCAAATTGAGCCGCTGTAGGTTGGCGGCCAGGTAGAAGGAGCACCGTGGTGGGAGACCTCAGTTAGCCACCAGACACTGAGTTTTGAGGCCCTTGTCTGTGAAATATTCCAGATAATAACAACAATAGCTCAATGAATTGCAGCTATCCCCTTTTTTCATTTAATCTTCTTCTGACAACCCTGTGGTGTGGTACAGCCTGTATGAAAATATACAGACATAAATTTAGATAGGAGAAACTAAAATAGTTTTCTTGATATTTCTACACATGAATTTAATTTAGTCCATAAACCCTCCATTTGTTTGCTGGCTGAAAACTGAATCTTGCTATATTGATTCAATTCAGTCCTTTAAAACTCAGTTACATTTGAATAAATGCTCCTTTTGCTGGCCTAGGGTCAAGGGCATGCTTATCATCAGCGTCTGGTCCACTGTGGCCATGGGGCCTGTCCTCTGTCCCCCATCCAGGGCAGCGATGGTGCTTGTTTGGGGGCCTCTGGTGAATTGATCACCATCTCAGCTCCTGTAGCTCCTGCTAAGGTCTGATTCCCAGTGACACCCTCTGTGTTAGTTTCCTGGGGCTGCTGTAACAAGTTGCACAAGCTTGGTGGCTGGGAACGACAGAAATGTATTCCACGATAGCTCTGGAGGCCAGCTGTCCAAAATCAGGTTGTCAGCAGAACCACGCTCCTTCAAGAGGCTCCAGGGGAGGATCGACCTTGCCTCTCCCAGCTTCCAGGGGCCCCAGGCGGTCGTTAGCACGTGGTGGCATCACTCCAGTCTCTGCCTCTGTCTTCACGTGGCCGTCTCTTTCTTCCTGTGTCTCGTCCTCCTCTATTTCTTATAAGGCCACTTGTCATTGGATGTAGGGCTCCCCTGGATAATCCAGGATGTCGCATTTCAAGAACCTTAGTTTAATGACATCTGCAAAGACCCTTATTCCAAAGAAGGTCAAATTCACAGTTGTGGGAGTTAAGACATGGACATCTCTTTTTGGGGGTCCCCATTCAAGCCCCTCTACTCTCCATCTGGTCTCTAGCCTGGGCCGTTGTTCTCACACGAGTGTTGTTCCTAATCAGGAAGTCGGGAAATTCTGCCATTCCAGGTGGGAACTGAGAGGGACTTGTCCTTGAGGTTCTCTCAGGCCTCCCTCTCTTCTCAGAACTTCCTGGACCTCCAACTCCATGCAGGCCACCCCTCATCTGTGTGGGGTCTCCAGCGGGGCTGCCAGCCCCCCAGTTCTGATGAGAAGTGGGGCCAAGTCATGGATGTGGAGCACACCCGGGTTGGCACCAACACTGCCGCGGGCCCTGAGTGTGGCTGCTGCCCTACCATGGAGATAGGCTGCGCCCCCCTGCCTCCCTCAAGCTCCGTCCTGGAAAATGTTGTTTCTTCTCAGAAAGGAGGAACGTGAAGGGAAATTGGAGCGGGGTTTGACAGGGAGGCTCACACAAGTATGAAGACTGACAACCGGAAACTAAACCCAATCAGAGTATCACACATTTAGTTCTGAGCATTTAGACCTCTGAGAGCTGATCTGGGCCAACGGGCCGGAGCGTGTCTTCTGAACGCTACTTATTTAAGATTGTGAGGTACTGATAAAGTCCAACCGTGTGCTACCAAGATAACAAAATATCAAGGAGAAAGATCACTTTTGGCAGGAAGAGAATTATGAGAAAGGATTTGCAGGTGGCATGTGCGAAGACAA